GAGACACTGCCAGGTGCAATGTGAGCTCCAACGGCCAGGGGGCTAGCGTGAGCGGCGTACGCCAAAGGTGCGGCGTGAGCAGCAATGACCGCGGGGGCGGCGTGAGCGATCACAGCAGGGTCTCTGCGCACAATGGCGTTGAATCCAGAGTGAGGTCCAGCAGCGTAATCTACAGTGCGGCGGTGGCCGTCAGACTCCAGCAGCGAGTACTGGCCGACAACATTGTCTCCGACGCGGGTCTCGTGCTGGCTCTTAACATCTCCGGTGTGTGGGTCAGCTACGCCATATGAGAAGCTCGAGTAGTCTCCGCCGTGGATTGCGCTGCCTTGAGCAGCTGCCGCCAACATGGCGATAACGAAGAACTGAAAAGTACAAACATGTTATTAGTTCCTCATGCATTCAACTATTCGTTACATAAAATTGCGATTTGCAATCGCAATTTTTAATTTTCTAATTGTATTAAAAGAAGACGCTACTGATCATCTTCGGGTGTGTTTCCTATCGCCACTTGTACGTAGGTATTATTACATCGCCTCTACATGGTGAATGAGGTCAAATACTCTTAAAAGTTAAAACTAAAATTACTATCGATGGCTTTTCCAAAGAAATAAACGATTTGTACTTAATTAATTATTTACCTTGGCTGCCATTTTGATAAGTATGTTTCTGCTGAATAGTGAACGGTGAATGATAAATCTGGGTGAACACTGGTCATTTTATACAACTCCCCGCACAGTAATTGTGTGTTAGGAGGTAAAAGACTTTTGTCCGCTCTAGGTCACGCTGTATAGCACTTAGAGTTGAATTTTATTGGTTAACTAAACTGATATACTTGTAAACAACGCTTAACTATAAGATATTTGAACAGTGGCGTTGTCCGGACCACGCCACTAAAAGTGCTACTTACCTCAGGTGAAAAATAGGCGCTCCGGGAAGTCTGTAGTATGTAACATGTCCAGCATCATCCCAACTATTGTTAAGGATTGAATAGACCAAAAATTTTATAGAAAAACGATCCCTACCAAGGATGTTTCGCGATGTTATTAACATACTAATTTCAATTGAAAAGATGGCTGGGTGCTACCATCAGCATCAAACTCAAGCATACTACTGTAAGACTTCATGATACTGTAAGCTCATTTTGCGTAGATTGGGCCAAAAATTATGACTAAAAGTTGAAGGTAACCTTCGCTAACTGTGACATCGGGACGTCAAACACCTCAATTCCCCCCTCGTGATCATGGGAGCTGGAAAGTGCCTGAAACGTCAGTCGTGAAAGGTTAGGTTTAAACGCGATAAAATCCGTAAAATTTGTTTTATGCTATGATAAATTGTGTTATTTTAGTTTATCTCGAATTGGCTGGCAATAAAAAAACCATAGACAAAAAACTTAACTTAGATATTGTTTATTTTTAAGAAATAAAATAACTAATTTAGTTTTTAAATTGTACTATTTCTTTAAGGTTACACAAGTACTTAATTAATTATACATAATATAAACTTAACCTTTGTGTTTTACCTTGCATTTGGAATTTCAGAAAGTGAAATTTAAAAAAAAACTTTTCATGTCGTTGCCGTTACAACCTATCAAAGTCCACTGGTGAACATAGACCCCCTCCCTATAGATTGCCCCATAGGGGAACATTGGCCATAGTTGCCGCGCCCGGCAAGCGGGTAACGGTTAAAAATAAAAACTGCTGTTACCACTGCAGTTTTTTTTATTTTTAACCCTTATTTGGAAGACGCTGCTGCCCATATGTTTCTCTCTGCTACTACTACTCTGCTACTAGCAGTCCACCCCTGTGCGATTTAAAAGAAGTTTTCTTCCTCGCACAACTTCCTTGCTGGAATCGACTACCACCGAAGATTTTTCCGGACCGATACGACTTAGGGACCTACAAGAAAAGAGCCTACTCCTTTTTAAAAGTCCGGCAACGCATCTGCAATTCCCCTGGTGTTACAGTTGTTCATGGGCGGTGATATTACTTACCATAAAAAAATTATTAATTTTTTTTAATGGCGTTAGAACTTTGTCGTTTAGTACCAGACGTAATGTAATGTATAAGACGTATGATATTGCTATTAACAATTTTATTTTGTGTGTTGTATTTCTTTTTTTTTTTGCTTTTCATCAGTTGATTTATGTATCCAAATGTAAAACCTATTGAATTTATTGTTGATCCTTTTTATCAGCCAGTTACAGTGGTATTTAAAGTTATTGGTAGTAATTAAAAGCTATGAGGTAGGCCTATGTGTAGCAATGACCTTTTGAAAGGCTGTAATAATAACGGTATTGGTATATTATAATATTGTTTGAACTATACCTTACTTTGCACTCTTCCACTACCCCAAATCATCTTATGGGGTTTTGTGAGCTGTGACGGTGGGAAATGAAGCAAAGAATAGACATTTTCATTTCTATACGTGGTAGAGCCACGCTGCACCTACATTATGGTTGTAGCACGAATGGGTCGGCTTACCAGGGAAGGATCACGGTTTCACAGAATACCGGCATAAAATAATAGCCTACTGCTTCTGCTTTTCGTATGGTGCAAGCAGAATACCGGAGATGCTCCTTACTGGTAATGAGACATTCTATTAGTCCTCAGGGATGACAACACATCTACATTTTGATTCTTAATTGAAGATTACGTAGTCTGAGTGCTTATTTATGTACGTGTTTTCCATAAAGTGTACAATAAGAAATGAGGCATTTTAATGTTATTTTTGTAGGAGAATTTCTAATAATGTAGTAGAGAATTGTATGACAGATTTGTATTCTTTTGGCCAAAGATCTCGTGCCTTAAGGTCAGGGTACCCGACTACTACGTTAAAGGTGTACACTAATCTTCTTCGAAGCCAACATTTGTGTGAAAATATAAATTTGTTGATTTCTAGATATATTTAAAAAAAGATGAAGCTGCAAACGAACTTACAGGTGTGGACTGTAAGTGGCTACTGCATGCACATAGAAATCTTTCAACAGATGCGTCATTACCTCTGAGAACTTACATGGGATGCTTCACAGCCTGTTATTGTACTAGCCCTCAACACCTTACAGACTCGAAAACAGCGGACCATGTACCGCTGTTTGTGCTAGAAATAGCTGAGAAGGTAGAATACATAACCAAACTTCTACACAGACAGAAAAACTTCTAGACAGAATAAAAGTTCTACCAACTTGTAGTGTATAACGGCTAGAGTAAGAATAGTGGCATATTGTAATATACTTATATTTAAAAAATACTTTTAACGAAAAAGAAAAACCGATTTCAAAGACTAAAAAATAATAACAAACAATCTCGTAATAGCTTTTGAAGTCTAAGCTAAGACTCAGCGGGTCGAAAAATTAATGCCTCAACTTCAGAAGTCGTATTTATTTTTTATTATAAGTTTAAGTTCTTCCCCATTGCGTGAACTAAGCAATAACTGAAATGTCGCCTCAACATATGCAACCAAAACCATCCCCTATTTTTCTACCCTTGAGTATGTATTTCTTCCTTTAAATTTAAACTAGGCTACCATTGAGGTATAACCGGCATATTCAATTAAATTCATATCATTTAAATCAGTATCCAAACAAATCGGTAAATACACCTTAAAAGCGCGTGTCTTTTATTATAGATCTTTTTTACTTGGATAAAAGTTAACATGAATTATGAACTTTTTTATTTATTTATTATTTAAGGAAAATTTATTATCAAAGCAAGATAGTATCAACGTTTAAATCACCCAAAATGCAGCAATTTCATTGGTAAGGATTTACATTAACCATTAGTATTTAAGCGTTTTTTAAAAACTTAAAAATTATAATAAGATTTTTAACCGAGCGCCATAAATGAAGTTTTATATTCGACACGTAATTTACTGATTTCTCAAAAACGGCTGAACCGGTTTAAATGGCCCTCTTTCTCTAACGTTAACGTCACAGTCTATATACGTCCTACCGCTGGGCACAGGCCTTCTCTTATTTCTGGTAGGGTTATAGAGCAAGGAAACGTACGTCGCGTTGCCCCAATGCCTGGTAGCGAACCTCACATGTCCTCGAATATATTTTTTTCTGAGACATGCAGGTTTCCTCATGATGTTTTCCTTCACTGCCGAGCACACAGTAAATAAACGCTTAGCCCCTGAGCTACCTCTCCTCTTCTATTAAATAAGTTCTAATTTACGGGTGTTTCCTAAAGAATTTTTATAAAAACTTTCGGTGGAAAAATAGGGGATTAAATTTTTAAGGAACTATTCAGACGATATGTAATAAGTAATTTGAATTTGAATAAGATGTTTTCTCGTGTGCTCTCTTTCATGTTTGAAAGAGAGCATAAGATCGCTGTTTCATGCTAGTATTCTGTGGGAGTTTGGTCCTTCCCCGATCGAGCCGACCCATTTCTCTTGCAATCATAATATAGTTGGCTCAACCACTTAAAAGTAACATGCTATATATTACGTATGTAGGAAATAAAATATCAAGTACTAGCTGGTACCCGCCGTGTTGCTGCCGCGGAGGAGATATAATTGTGGAAATATATTTTTAAAATGGGAAGAGTTATATTGTTTAAATAGAAATGATAGATAATATGCACAATCACTGAAAAGACAAATATCTAGATACGACACGCGCGCCAGATACTGTCAGTTAATTTTATATACCTTCGCGCAATTACAAGCAATAATTATGGTATAATAATGGTATAGCAACGCACGCAACAAACTATAACTTTTATATATTAGATATTACGGCACTTGAGAGCATAAGGATCAAAATTGGCTAAAAGATGCCATTCTTAAATAAACTTCTTATTGAAAAACTATATAGTATTAAGTATATAACTTTTACACAATATATAGTGGAATAAGGAATAAAATAACTTTTAAACTTATACAAGTTTATTCATTAATTCAGTCACAGTTTCACATCATTTACTCATATGTCATTGGAATAAATTATATTCGTAGTTACATTACTATTGCCTAGTAGTTTTATTATCGTTCAGTTCCTAATGAATGTAGCCGAGACCACGGGCACCGAGACCATGGGCACCGTAGGCAAGACCAAGCGCACCGTAGCCAAGACCGTGAGCACCGTAGGCGAGACCGTGTGCGCCATAGCCGAGACCTTGCGCGCCATAGGCGATGGCACCGTGAGCAAGAGGAGCAGCTACAACTGCAGAGTGAACGAGTGGACTGCCGTGCGCAACAGAGCTACTGTGGGCTGAGTAGGATACAGCGCCAGGTGCAATGTGAGCTCCAACGGCCAGGGGGCTAGCGTAAGCGGCGTACGCCAAAGGTGCGGCGTGAGCAGCAATGACCGCGGGGGGCGGCGTGAGCGATCACAGCAGGGTCTCTGCGCACAATGGCATTGAATCCAGAGTGAGGTCCAGCAGCGTAATCTACAGTGCGGCGGTGGCCGTCAGACTCCAGCAGCGAGTACTGGCCGACAACATTGTCTCCGACGCGGGTCTCGTGCTGGCTCTTAACATCTCCGGTGTGTGGGTCAGCTACGCCATATGAGAAGCTCGAGTAGTCTCCGCCGTGGATTGCGCTGCCTTGAGCAGCTGCCGCCAACATGGCGATAACGAAGAACTGAAAAGTATAAACATGTTATTAGTTCCTCAAGCATTCAACTATTCGTCACAGCAAATTGCGGTTTGCAATCGCAATTTTTAATTTTCTAATTGTATTAAAAGAAGACGCTACTGATCATCTCCTGGTATGTTTCCTATCGCCACCTGTACGCAGGTATTATTACATCGCCTCTACATGGTGAATGAGGTCAAATACTCTTAAAAGTTAAAACTAAAATTACTATCGATGGCTTTTCCAAAGAAATAAACGATTTGTACTTAATTAATTATTTACCTTGGCTGCCATAATGATAAGTATGTTTCTGCTGAATAGTGAACGGTGAATGATCAATCTGGGTGAACACTGGTCATTTTATACAACTCCCCGCACAGTAATTGTATGTTAGGAAGTAAAAGACTTTTGTCCGCTCTAGGTCACGCTGTATAGCACTTAGAGTTGAATTTTGTTGGTTAACTAAACCGATATACTTGTAAACAACGCTTAACTATAAGATACTTGAACAGTGGCGTGGTCCGGACCACGCCACTAAAAGTGCTACTTACCTCAGTCGAAAAATAGGCGCTCCGGGAAGTCTGTAGTATTTAACATGTCCGGCATCATCCCAACCATTGTTAAGGATTGAATAGACCAAAAATTTTATAGAAAAACGATCCCTACCAAGGATGTTTCGCGATGTTATTAACATACTAATTTCAATTGAAAAGATGGCTGGGTGCTACCATCAGCATCAAACTCAAGCATACTACTGTAAGACTTCATGATACTGTAAGCTCATTTTGCGTAGATTGGGCCAAAAATTAATGATTAAAAGTTGAAGGTAACCTTCGCTAACTACGACATCGGGACGTCAAACACCTCAATTCCCCCCTCGTGATCATGGGAGCTGGAAAGTGCCTGAAACGTCAGTCGTGAAAGGTTAGGTTTCAACGCGATAAAATCCGTAAAATTTGTTTTATGCTATGATAAATTGTGTTATTTTAGTTTATCTCGAATTGGCTGGCAATAAAAAAACCATAGACAAAAAACTTAACTTAACTTAGATATTGTTTATTTTTAAGAAATAAAATAACTAATTTAGTTATTAAATTGTACTATTTCTTTAAGGTTACACAAGTACTTAATTAATTATACATAATATAAACTTAACCTTTGCGTTTTACCTTGTATTTGGAATTTCAGAAAGTGAAATTTAAAAAAAAACTTTTCATATCGTTGCCGTTACACCCTATCAAAGTCCACTGGTGAACATAGACCCCCTCCCTATAGATTGCCCCATAGGGGGACATTGGCCATAGTTGCCGCGCCCGGCAAGCGGGTAACGGTTAAGAATAAAAAAACTGCTGTTACCACTGCAGTTTTTTTTATTTTTAGCCGTTATTTGGAAGACGCTGCTGCCCATATGTTTCCTCTGCTCTCTACTCCGCTAATAGCAGTCCACCCCTGTGCGATTTAAAAGAAGTTTTCTTCCTCGCACAATTTCCTTGCTGGAATCGACTACCACCGAAGATTTTTCCGCACCGATACGACTTAGGGACCTACAAGAAAAGAGCCTACTCCTTTTTAAAAGGCCGGCAACGCATCTGCAATTCCCCTGGTGTTGCAGTTGTTCATGGGCGGTGATATTACTTACCATAAAAAAATTATTAAATTTTTTTAATGGCGTTAGAACTTTGTCGTTTAGTACCAGACGTAATGTAATGTATAAGACGTATGATATTGCTATCGCTAATCAAATATATATATATATATATATATATATATATAAATATATATGTATATATATATATATATATATATATATATATATACATATATATATATATATGTTATGTCGATTAAGGCAAATCTTTAGGAGGCTCCTGCCCAGCAGTGGACTGTTTCGAGCTGATGAAAGAAAAAAAAGCAGTCTAAGTACAGTTGGCAATTTTATTTTGTGTGTTGTATTTCTTTTTTTTTTTGGTTTTCATCAGTTGATTTATGTATCCAAATGTAAAACCTATTGAATTTATTGTTGTTCATTTTTATCAGCCAGTTACAGTGGTATTTAAAGTTATTGGTAGTAATTAAAAGCTATGAGGTAGGCCTATGTGTAGCAATGTCCTTTTGAAAGGCTGTAATAATAACGGTATTGGTATATTATAATATTGTTTGAACTATACCTTACTTTGCACTCTTCCACTACCCCAAGTCATCTTATGGGGTTTTGTGAGCTGTGACGGTGGGAAATGAAGCAAAGAATAGACATTTTCATTTCTATACGTGGTAGAGCCACGCTGCACCTACATTATGGTTGTAGCACGAATGGGTCGGCTTACCAGGGAAGGACACGGTCACAGAATACCGGCATAAAATAGTAGCCTACTGCTTCTGCTTTTCGTATGGTGCAAGTATAGAATACCGGAGATGCTCCTTACTGGTAATGAGACATTCTATTAGTCCTCAGGGATGACAACACATCTACATTTTGATTCTTAATTGAAGATTACGTAGTTTGAGTGCTCATTTATGTACGTATTTTCCATAAAGTGTACAATAAAAAATGAGGCATTTTAATGTTATTTTTGTAAGAGAATGCATAATAATACAGTAGAGGATTGTATGACAGATTTGTATTCTTTTGGCCAAAGATCTCGTGCCTTAGGGTCAGGGTATCCGACTACTACGTTAAAAGTGTACACGAATCTTCTTCGAAGCCAATATTTGTGTGAAAATATAAATTTGTTGATTTCTAGGTATATTTAAAAAAAGATGAAGCTGCAAACGAACTTACAGTTGTGGACTGTAAGTGGCTACTGCATGCACATAGAAATCTTTCAACAGATGCGTCATTACCTCTGAGAACTTACATGGGATGCTTTACGGCCTGTTATTGTACTAGCCCTCAACACCTTAAAGACTCGAAAACAGCGGAACATGTACAGCTGTTTGTGCTAGAAATAGTTGAGAAGGTAGAATACATAACCAAACTTCTACACAGACAGAAAAACTTCTAGACAGAATAAAAGTTCTACCAACTTGTAGTGTATAACGGCTAGAGTAAGAATAGTGGCATATTGTAATATACTTATATTTAAAAAATACTTTTAACGAAAAATAAAAACCGATTTCAAAGACTAAAAAATAATAACAAACAATCTCGTAATAGCTTTTGAAGTCTGTGCTAAGACTTAGCGGGTCGAAAAATTAATGCCTCAACTTCAGAAGTCGTATTTATTTTTTATTATAAGTTTAAGTTCTTCCCCATTGCGTGAACTAAGCAATAACTGAAATGTCGCCTCAACATATGCAACCAAAACCATCCCCTATTTTTCTACCCTTGAGTATGTATTTCTTCCTTTAAATTTAAACTAGGCTACCATTGAGGTATAACCGGCATATTCAATTAAATTCATATCATTTAAATCAGTATCCAAACAAATCGGTAAATACACCTTAAAAGCGCGTGTCTTTTATTATAGAACCTATTCCTTTTTTACTTGGATAAAAGTTAACATGAATCATGAACTTAGAATTTAAGGAAAATTTATTATCAAAGCAACATAGTATAAACGTTTAAATCACCCAAAATGCAGCAATTTCATTGGTAAGGATTTACATTAACCATTAGTATTTAAGCGTTTTTTAAAAACTTAAAAATTTTAATAAGATTTTTAACCGAGCGCCATAAATGAAGTTTTATATTCGACACGTAATTTACTGATTTCTCAAAAACGGCTGAACCGGTTTAAATGGCCCTCTTTCTCTAACGTTAACATCACAGTCTATATACGTCCTACCGCTGGGCACAGGCCTTCTCTTATTTCTGGTAGGGTTTTAGAGCAAGGAAACGTACGTCGCGTTGCCCCAATGCCTGGTAGCGAACCTCACATGTCCTCGAATATATTTTTTTCTGAGACATGCAGGTTTCCTCATGATGTTTTCCTTCACTGCCGAGCACACAGTAAAAAGCCCGCTTAGCCCCTGAGCTACCTCTCCTCTTCTATTAAATAAGTTTTAATTTACGGGTGTTTCCTAAAGAATTTTAATAAAAACTTTCGGTGGAAAAATAGGGGATTAAATTTTTAAGGAACTATTCAGACGATATGTAATAAGTAATTTGAATTTGAATTAGATGTTTTCTCGTGTGCTCTCTTTCATGTTTGAAAGAGAGCATAAGATCGCTGTTTCATGCTAGTATTCTGTGAGAGTTTGGTCCTTCCCCGATCGAGCCGACCCATTTCTCTTGCAATCATAATATAGTTGGCTCAACCACTTAAAAGTAACATGCTATACATTACGTATGTAGGAAATAAAATATCAAGTACTAGCTGGTACCCGCCGCGTTGCTGCCGCGGAGGAGATATAATTGTGGAAATATATTTTTAAAATGGGAAGAGTTACATTGTTTAACTAGAAATGATAGATAATATGCACAATCACTGAAAAGACAAATATGTAGATACGACACGCGCGCCAGATACTGTCAGTTAATTTTATATACCTTCGCGCAATTACAAGCAATAATTATGGTATAATAATGGTATAGCAACGCACGCAACAAACAATAACTTTTATATATTAGATATTACGGCACTTGAGAGCATAAGGATCAAAATGGGCTAAAAGATGCCATTCTTAAGTAAACTTCTTATTGAAAAACTATATAGTATTAAGTATATAACTTTTACACAATATATAGTGGAATAAGGAATAAAATAACTTTTAAACTTATACAAGTTTATTCATTAATTCAGTCACAGTTTCACATCATTTACTCATATGTCATTGGAATAAATTATATTCGTAGTTACGTTATTATTGCCTAGTAGTTTTATTATCGTTCAGTTCCTAATGAAGGTAGCCGAGACCATGGGCACCAAGACCATGGGCACCGTAGGCAAGACCAAGCGCACCGTAGCCAAGACCGTGAGCACCGTAGGCGAGACCGTGTGCGCCATAGCCGAGACCTTGCGCGCCATAGGCGATGGCACCGTGAGCAAGAGGAGCAGCTACAACTGCAGAGTGAACGAGTGGACTGCCGTGCGCAACAGAGCTGCTGTGGGCTGAGTAGGATACAGCGCCAGGTGCAATGTGAGCTCCAACGGCCAGGGGGCTAGCGTGAGCGGCGTACGCCAAAGGTGCGGCGTGAGCAGCAATGACCGCGGGGGGCGGCGTGAGCGATCACAGCAGGGTCTCTGCGCACAATGGCGTTGAATCCAGAGTGAGGTCCAGCAGCGTAATCTACAGTGCGGCGGTGGCCGTCAGACTCCAGCAGCGAGTACTGGCCGACAACATTGTCTCCGACGCGGGTCTCGTGCTGGCTCTTAACATCTCCGGTGTGTGGGTCAGCTACGCCATATGAGAAGCTCGAGTAGTCTCCGCCGTGGATTGCGCTGCCGTGAGCAGCTGCCGCCAACATGGCGATAACGAAGAACTGAAAAGTACAAACATGTTATTAGTTCCTCATGCATTCAACTATTCGTTACATAAAATTGCGGTTTGCAATCGCAATTTTTAATTTTCTAATTGTATTAAAAGAAGACGCTACTGATCATCTTCGGGTGTGTTTCCTATCGCCACTTGTACGTAGGTATTATTACATCGCCTCTACATGGTGAATGAGGTCAAATACTCTTAAAAGTTAAAACTAAAATTACTATCGATGGCTTTTCCAAAGAAATAAACGATTTGTACTTAATTAATTATTTACCTTGGCTGCCATTTTGATAAGTATGTTTCTGCTGAATAGTGAACGGTGAATGATAAATCTGGGTGAACACTGGTCATTTTATACAACTCCCGCACAGTAATTGTGTGTTAGGAAGTAAAAGACTTTTGTCCGCTCTAGGTCACGCTGTATAGCACTTAGAGTTGAATTTTATTGGTTAACTAAACTGATATACTTGTAAACAACGCTTAACTATAAGATATTTGAACAGTGGCGTGGTCCGGACCACGCCACTAAAAGTGCTACTTACCTCAGGTGAAAAATAGGCGCTCCGGGAAGTCTGTAGTATGTAACATGTCCAGCATCATCCCAACTATTGTTAAGGATTGAATAGACCAAAAATTTTATAGAAAAACGATCCCTACCAAGGATGTTTCGCGATGTTATTAACATACTAATTTCAATTGAGAAGATGGCTGGGTGCTACCATCAGCATCAAACTCAAGCATACTACTGTAAGACTTCATGATACTGTAAGCTCATTTTGCGTAGATTAAGCCAAAAATTAGGACCCATGACGTCAAACACCTCAATTCCCCCCTCGTGATCATGGGAGCTGGAAAGTGCCTGAAACGTCAGTCGTGAAAGGTTAGGTTTCAACGCGATAAAATCCGTAAAATTTGTTTTATGCTATGATAAATTGTGTTATTTTAGTTTATCTCGAATTGGCTGGCAATAAAAAAACCATAGACAAAAAACTTAACTTAGATATTGTTTATTTTTGAGAAATAAAATAACTAATTTAGTTTTTAAATTGTACTATTTCTTTAAGGTTACACAAGTACTTAATTAATTATACATAATATAAACTTAACCTTTGTGTTTTACCTTGCATTTGGAATTTCAGAAAGTGAAATTTAAAAAAAAAAAACTTTTCATATCGTTGCCGTTACAACCTATCAAAGTCCACTGGTGAACATAGAGCCCCTCCCTATAGATTGCCCCATAGGGGGACATTGGCCATAGTTGCCGCGCCCGGCAAGCGGGTAACGGTTAAGAATAAAAAAACTGCTGTTACCACTGCAGTTTTTTTTATTTTAACCGTTATTTGGAAGACGCTGCTGCCCATATGTTTCTCTCTGCTACTACTACTCTGCTACTAGCAGTCCACCCCTGTGCGATTTAAAAGAAGTTTCCTTCCTCGCACAACTTCCTTGCTGGAATCGACTACCACCGAAGATTTTTCCGGACCGATACGACTTAGTGACCTACAAGAAAAGAGCCTACTCCTTTTTAAAAGGCCTGCAACGCATCTGCAATTCCCCTGGTGTTGCAGTTGTTCATGGGCGGTGATATTACTTACCATAAAAAAAATTATTAAATTTTTTTTTAATGGCGTTAGAACTTTGTCGTTTAGTACCAGACGTAATGTAATGTATAAGACGTATGATATTGCTATCGCTAACAAATATATATATATATATATATATATATATATATATATATATATATATATATATATATACAAGTTATGTCGATTAAGGCAATTCTTTAGGAGGCTCCTGCCCAGCAGTGGACTGTTTCGAGCTGATGAAAGAAAAAAAGCAGTCTAAGTACAGTTGGCAATTTTATTTTGTGTGTTGTATTTCTTTTTTTTTTTGGTTTTCATCAGTTGATTTATGTATCCAAATGTAAAACGTACTGAATTTATTGTTGATCCTTTTTTATCAGCCAGTTACAGTGGTATTTAAAGTTATTGGTAGTAATTAAAAGCTTTGAGGTAGGCCTATGTGTAGCAATGACCTTTTGAAAGGCTGTAATAATAACGGTATTGGTATACTATAATATTGTTTGAACTATACCTTACTTTGCACTCTTCCACTACCCCAAATCATCTTATGGGGTTTTGTGAGCTGTGACGGTGGGAAATGAAGCAAAGAATAGACATTTTCATTTCTATACATGGTAGAGCCACGCTGCACCTACATTATGGTTGTAGCACGAATGGGTCGGCTTACCAGGGAAGGATCACGGTTTCACAGAATACCGGCATAAAATAGTAGCCTACTTCTTCTGCTTTTCGTACGGTGCGAGTAAAATACCGGAGATGCTCCTTACTGGTAACGAGACATTCTATTAGTCCACAGGGATGACAACACATCTACATTTTGATTCTTAATGTAAGATTACGTAGTCTGATTGCTCATTTATGTACGTGTTTTCCATAAAGTATACAATAAAAAATGAGGAATTTTAATGTTATTTTGTAAGAGAATGAATAATAATACAGTAGAGGGTTGTATGACAAATTTGTATTCTTTTGGCCAAAGATCTCGTGCCTTACGGTCAGTGTATTCGACTACTACGTTAAAGGTGTACAACTTTAACGTAGTAGTCGTAAGGCACACAGAGCGTAAGGCACGAATCTTCTTCGAAACCAACATTTGTGTGAAAATATAAATTTGTTGATTTCTAGCTATATTTAAAGAAGTTTAAGCTGCAGACGAACTTACAGTGGTGGACTGTAAGTGGCTACTGCATGCACATAGAGATCTTTCAACAGATGCGTCATTATCTCTGAGAACTACGATGGGATGCTTCACGAGCCCTCAATATCTTACAGACTAGAATGCAGCGGACCATGTACTGCTGTTTGTGGTAGAAATAGTTGAGAAAGTAGAATACATAACCAAACTTCTATACAGAATAAGAGTTCTACCAACTTGTAGTGTATAACGGTGAAAAGGAACCAGCGAGGGGATTAAGAAACAGAAGGGAGGAATCGAGGCTTCTCTCGATTCCGCCTCTTATAACGCCTACGTTGGGTTCGGGAACAACGTATGTGATCTCCGCAACGGAGTAACACACAAGGGCGATAACCTCTTCCTTTTCAGCAAGTAGGTTCAGACGGGGATTACGGGTTTTCCGAAGTCGTCCCGGTCCCAACGCCTTAATTCTTCGATGTGGACTGTATAATTTTGAGGGATGAATTGCTTGGGAATAAAACAGCAATTATCTTCAAACCGTTCCGTGAGAGAGTAATCACTTTTCCCTATCACTTCCCTACACTTTTTCTTTCTTCTTCTTATTGACTGCTGGTATGATTTCCGAACTTTTTCCCCGAACTATCTCGAAGGATTCCCGAACTATCTTCCCGAACGATTCCCGAACGAATTGCAATAAAACCCGTTCACTAAGCTACCCCAGAGCTATACGCGAAAGTGAGCCGCGCCATTCGCGCGCTTGCGCAACTCAATTACATGAATTTGTACTATTACTCTCTCACGTTTTACTTAATTTCTTTATTTTCATAAGTCTTACATCAATACAATTTATCTGTATATATAGCACAAAACAATATCTACACTACGATATACATTACATTTTCATATCACGAAAAACCTTTTATTTATTAAATGAAATATGCCTATTTTACTCACTATTTCGAAGTCGAAATTTCTTAAATATTTAACACAGAAAGTTAAAACAATGTTTTCCACTTGAAATTATACATATATTAACTAATACAATAGTTTAATTTACATTTTCTCTATTTATTTCACTATTTAAAACACTTTTAAATTTCTCATACAAAACTATCATTATTTCACTTATACACAGGAATTTTCACATAAAAATAACACAGAATTCACCTTTTTGGCACGTACAATCAACCTGAAATGTTTTATAAGTCATTTTTACATAAATTGCTGAAATTACAAATATTTTAAATTTGTACATATTCGGCCTCCTAAGGGCGTGGCCAGCGTGCTTCCGTGAACTCTATTTGAACAACTAACTTTTGCACGGCTCTCGGCTATCAGAAAAAATGAAAGTCTGATATACACCAATTTTAACAATATTGGGTGAATAAATGCATCTACACAATTTTCAAACTATAGGAAACTATTTCTAATCAGATTCTTATCAGTTATCATGTTTCTTATCAGATAACAATATAAGTGAATGTTCTCATAAATCAATCATGGCAAATAGGCATTTGTTTTCGTACAAAACATATCAAACTTATATAAGACAATACTTATGCAATTAATTTCCGTTAATTCTATTTATGCACAGAGTGATCATCTCGACCGGGGAACAAATCCGATCTTTAACTTTATTTAATTATTGTTTTAAATTTACATCATTGGAATGATTTCAACCGGGGAACCAATCCGGTAACATAATTTATATCTTAAAATTCCCTATATGAATTTATTGAAAGATATTACTTAGGAAAACAATAAACTAGTCCGGCCTGGGAGTCGAACCCAAGACCTTCATATCATTAATTCGACATTTCACAAGATTTAACTAAGCATTTTCTTATTAGAACATTGCTATTGGACAATATGCCTTTGAGACGTTATTCGTCATCGGTTGACTTAATAAACTGAAATATTCTTATAGGCGCGTCGCCAACAATCTCCCCCCCCCCCCGTGCGTTAGCACCATCATTTGGGAGGCGTCGCGGGTACCAGGACTATTATTCTGGATGTAGGTCTCCTCAAGATACCTGTGCTAGCAATGACGTCAACCACTCTGGTGTGACCGTCTGGTCCCGGTAGCGTTCTACTAATTTTGCCTTTCGGCCACGTATTTCGTGGCAACGAATGATCTATTATCAAAACAATATCACCTTCTTTAGGTTCCATGAACTTTCCGTTATTACCTGTTCGAGGTATTAAAGTAGGCATGTATTCTTTCAACCATCTTGTCCAAAAATGGTCGGCTAACCTCTGTGCAGCTTTTTTGAAATTTACAGCAAACGCTTAGCCCCTGAGCTACCTCTCCTCTTCTATTAAATAGGTTTTAATTTACGGGTGTTTCCTAAAGAATTTTAAAACAGCGATCTTATGCTCTCTTTCATGTTTGAAAGAGAGCATAAGATCGCTGTTTCTTGCTAGTATTCTGTGAGAGTTTGGTCCTTCCCCGATCGAGCCGACCCATTTCTCTTGCAATCTTAATATAGTTGGCTCAATCACTTAAAAGTAACATGCTATATATTACGTATGTAGGAAATAAAATATCAAGTACTAGCTGGTACCCGCCGCGTTGCTGCCGCAGGAGAAATAATTGTGGAAATTTATTTTTAAAATGTGAAGAGTTATATTGTTTAACTAGAAATGATAGATAATATGCACAATCACTGAAAAGACAAATATGTAGATACGATACGCGCGCCAGATACTGTCAGTTAATTTTACTATACATTCGGGCAATTACAAGCAATAATTATGGTATAATAATGGTATAGCAACGCACGCAACAAACAATAACTTTTATATATTAGATATTACGGCACTTGGGAACATAAGGATCAAAATGGGCTAAAAGATGCCATTCTTAAGTAAGCTTCTTATTGAAAAACTATATAGTATTAAGTATATAACTTTTACACAATATATAGTGGAATAAGGAATAAAATAACTTTTAAACTTATACAAGTTTATTCATTAATTCAATCACAGTTTCACATCATTTACTCATATGTCATTGGAATAAATTATATTCGTAGTTACATTATTATTGCCTAGTAGTTTTATTATCGTTCAGTTCCTAATGAAGGTAGCCGAGACCATGGGCACCAAGACCATGGGCACCGAGACCAAGGGCACCGTAGGCAAGACCGTGTGCGCCATAGCCGAGACCTTGCGCGCCATAGGCGATGGCACCGTGAGCAAGAGGAGCAGCTACAACTGCAGAGTGAACGAGTGGACTGCCGTGCGCAACAGAGCTACTGTGGGCTGAGTAGGATACAGCGCCAGGTGCAATGTGAGCTCCAACGGCCAGGGGGCTAGCGTGAGCGGCGTACGCCAAAGGTGCGGCGTGAGCAGCAACAACCGCGGGGGCGGCGTGTGCGATCACAGCGGGGTCTCTGCGCACAATGGCGTTGAATCCAGAGTGAGGTCCAGCAGCGTAGTCTACAGTGCGGCGATGGCCATCCGACTCCAGCAGCGAGTACTGGCCGACAACATTGTCTCCGACGCGGGTCTCGTGCTGGCTCTTAACGTCTCCGGTGTGTGGGTCAGCTACGCCATATGAGAAGCTCGAGTAGTCTCCGCCGTGGATCGCGCTGCCTTGAGCAGCTGCCACCAACATGGCGATAACGAAGAACTGAAAGGTACAAACATGTTATTAGTTCCATATGCATTCATCGATTCGCTACAGCTTATCCAACTTAACTTCTGAACATAGAGCTCCCGACAGATTGCCTCATAAGTATGATATTGGCTATTGTAGAAGCTCTTTTCAGGAGGTATTATATTTAAAAATGGCGGCTTGTTTTAAAAACGATGCTGCTGATCATCTCCTGGTTTGTTTCCCTATATCGCCACTTGTTTGTAGGTATTTCGCCATTACATAGTAAGTGAGGTCAAATCCTCTTAAAAGTTAAAATTAAAATTATTATCGATGGCTTTTCATACGAAATATACGATTTACATACTGAAATAATTATTTACCTTGGCTGCCATTTTGATAAGTATGTTTCTGCTGAACAGTGAACTGTGAATGATCAATCTGGGTGAACACTGGTCATTTTATACAACTCTTGCACTGTAATTGTGTGCTATTAATAGGAAGTAAAAGATAGTAGTCCGCTCTAGGTCACGCTGTATAGCACTTAGAGTTTAATTTTGTTGGTTAACTTGTAATCGATATACTCGTATACAACGCGGAACTCTAAGATATTGAGACAATGGCGTGGTCCGGACCACCCCGCTAAAATTGCGACTTGCCTCAGGTTATTTAGGCATTTTGTCTTAAAACATGTTTTTAGAGCATTTTGTGACTAAATTCACATAATGTTTAGTTAATTGCTAATCTATAACGAAAATTCGAAAGGGAAGCTTTCATTCAGTAATGGCTTAAACTTACTGATTGTATACTCTTTGGTAGATGAAAGCGATTAAATACTAAGTAAATAACCTTAATGTCTATAACTCTGAACGTAAATATAACGATCGTAAATGTTAAAAAATATCCTTTTATATTTTTTATTTTTAAAACTATTTTAAAACCAGTAGTTATCTTAATTTCACTTTTGTGTTGTTGGTAGTAAATATACTAGATTATTATTTTTTAAACTCACTTTAGAGTTTGCAAAATAATTAACTTTATTACATTACATTTTCATTATATCAGCTACATATTTAAAATAGTCTTAAAAACAAAACACTTAGCAAACATTTTAAGTAACAATAATAAAAAATTTTGTATATATATTTTTTATTGCGCTTGTTTAATTAAGTATTTCAAAAAGTACGTAAAATTTAATTAATATCAAGGTTTTGTTTTGATAAAATTTGAACTAGTTTATGTCAATGTCAAAATTGTGTGGTAATCATAGAAATAATGTCTATACATTATTTCAAGCCTATGCTTGTAATATAATTTTAGTTATTGTCCGGTGACCTTGTAAATAAATTCAACATTCCCCAACATCCATTGTGTGTACTTGGAAGCAATTAAATAGCTAGTTAAGACATTAGTAATAGCATGCGAAGGTAATGGCAACCTTATTTGCATACTTCCATTCTCCGTTTATTATTAAACTTAATATATGAAAAAATTTGTTAAAACAATTAGGTTATTCATTAATTAACACAACTGCCGGTTTTGGCACTATACCGCTGTGAAAAGGAATGTATGATAATTTACGTTTTTAGTTTTAGGTTTTTCTTCAAATACGAAAATAAATATATTTTAATATTATGTAAATTAGATTTGAAAATTCATAGGCGTATTCAAATTGATAAATGATAAAAAATTAAATGATTGATTAGATTTATTTACAAGTAATTTTTATTTACAGATAAATTATCGTGTTGTTGTTTTCAGAGGAGGCGATTGTAAGTGAACGGTGCAGCATATCCAAATCCTGGGTAAAAGCCCAAGTTTGAGTACCCATAAGGAATGCCATATGCGATAGGAGCGGCGGGGATGAGACCAGGGTCCTTCCTTACGGCAGCGTTAAAGCCTTCGGCACCGGCTGAGTAGTCAACAGTCCTGCGTGTGCCGTCGGGTTCGAGGAGTGAGTACTGGCCCTGCACATTGTCTCCGGCACGACTTTCAATCTGACTCTTATAGTCACCGGTGTAAGGGTCAGCAACACCATAAGAGAAGCTTGAAAAGTCGCTGGCGGTGGCAACGGCCACGAGTGCGAGAAAGAGCAGAAACTAGAAATAAGAAAAATGTTATATTCTAAAATTAAAGTTTAAAATATAATATAAGTAAATCATTTTTCAGAAATTATTTAATCTAATAAAAGGCTGATTGTACAGCAAGTTCATCTTAAAATATGTGGCAAATTTAGATGCTGTGCTTGTCAGAATATATTCACTGATTTATGCGTGTCATCTTTTGGACAAGACATAGAATACTAAGATTATTGTAAATTATGTATTTCAATAAGAACAGTTACTACCTTCATGTTAAGATGTTTTGTAGAGTTTTAACTGCGGCGGTGAATCCTTCAAATATAATCCTCCTCGTTGAGCTCTTGTGTATTTATACAACGTTTAAGACTGATCCAGTTTTACTTCTTAACCTGTTTGCTTGTAAAGAAAATCAGGAAGTACCTAAAAGTCAAGTTAAAAGGGCAATCCACCGTACAATGTGTCTCAGAGAACCGCCACGATATTTTACGATACGTTATTTAATTATTGAAAAAAAAAACAAAAAACTTCTTAACCTAATGAACAAGTTGACCTATATGCCTTATAAGTGTTTGTAATAAATCATTATAATTTGTCTCTAAAACATCTTCTAACCATACACAATAACATTTGTAAATTTTACACCCGTGCAATAATGAAGGTTGAAATAAAACGACAAGAATTTTATTGCGTATTTTTATTCCATAAATATGAGGATTTATAACACTTTTCATTATTTCACGTATTGCAACATGGAGCTAAATAGCAATGCATTGAAAGTTTGTAAGTAAAGGGCAATTTAAATTAGAGATATAAATGTTCATAAAAATTACAATTTATTTTATTACGTAAGTTAGTGTCCGTTTTAGTCAAGTTTATCACTAAAACGAACTCATAGTACATTAGCTATTCCTTTTAAACAAATAAAGGATTTTGACCATTTGTGTAAGTGTGATGGTAAACCGATGTATGTGTAATAATAAGGGGAGATTGACTCGCATGCTGGTTGTTGGGAGTTAGTAACAGTTGGTTTATTTTAGACGCTTCGTTGTTTTGTCGTGCTACTCCATCATTGGTGATCTCCACCTGCCCATCATTAGGTGCATTGTTCTGCTTTCTGCCATTGTTTACTAATGCGTTAAACGCTGAATAATCATTTGCTCTGTAATCAACATTTCTTGTTATACCGTTGGGCTGTAGGAGAGAGTATTGACCAAGTACATTATCTCCTCTATAATTATCTTGCTGACTCTTGTAATTACCGGTATTTGCATCGTTAGTGCCGTAAGCGAAATTGTATTGTGGCGTTTGTTGTTGATATTCCGAAGGTAGGTACAGCGGTTGTGGAGCCTGATTCACCATGCTTGTCGTTGCCATGACCAGGCAGCATAGAATTGTTAGCTGCTAACAAAAATTGCAAGTTAATATGTATATATGTTATTGATTACGTTTTTATACAAAGTGCGCATTTTATTGGAATTTACGGTCTACTGTTAGAAAAATAAAGAACAATTGTATTTAAGAAATATTTAAATAAAAATCACATAAAGCTTGCTGATTTTGAGGTACGTACATGAAAATATTAATATTTCTTTAGAACGAAATACCTCTTGATCTTCTGTATACAGTTTGTATCGATATTTTGGAACTAATTCAAAATAAAATTTTAAAACGGTCCAATTTGATATTAGAACTATTTTTAAATTAATGATATTTTAGGAGCTGTGTCGTGACAGCATAAAAGTATTTACTACCACATATTATTCAGTTCGTGTCGTAAGAAGCGACAGGGGAAATCAAACAAGAGATTAGCATCAAAACCTTCCTGATTACAACTCAACTACAATGATAAATCTGCGTTTAACACTCCACTTGCCAAGCGTGGCAGTTATGGCAAATATCCCCCCTGTGAAATAATCATTGAGAGAGACCAATAGAAGAATATCTTACAACTTCTAGGCAAACATAAAAATGTTTTAGAAACTCATAAGAATTGCCAGGGGAAATTCAAAACAGCCTTGATTGAATGTTATACGAGACGAGCTTCGGTTGTATTTTGAATAATGAAGTTTCGAGTGTAAAGAGATGGATGGAATATTTAGAAAACGAGATGTTTCAATTAATCGAACTTAAAATTCCGAAAGAAAAAGAAAAAGGATGGAAGATAAGAGTGTAGATAAAATAATGAAAGTAATTAAAAGTAGGTAGGGCAGCCGGTTATGATCCTGGCACTGCTCTGTATTTGTTCGTAAAGTATAGCCTAGATCCCTCCTGGCATTGCTTTATATCTGTTCGTAAAGTATAGCCTAGATCACTCCTGGCACTGCTCTGTATCTGTTCGTTAAGTAAAGCCTATATCGTAGAGTATCACACGAAGGAGTGGCTGCAAGCCTGTTGTGTAGTTTGTTTAATCTATGTTAGAAACTGAAACGAGTACCGAGAGATTGGCGCAAAGCAAAGTATGTTTTCCTTCATCGCTGAACACGTGTTAATTCAGCACTTAAAAAGAATGCCATCAGTGCAAGAGACGAACGAATCCGAAGTGCTCGAGTAGGTACTGTAAAACTCACAATACGATTTGACCCCTTAACCCCTGAGACACTAACTCCATGCCACGTTATAGATTATTGGTGCCAAATTAAATAAATAAAATAATTTAAATTTGCTTGGTGCAACTGTTCTTCTACCGTAGGGTGTTATATTGAACGCCACCTGATGCCTCAATAATAGGCAGTCCATCACAATATACAAGGGCAAAGTCTCACAGCAGGACTTTAAAAACTACCGTGGCCTGTTTCTCTTTGTGGGAAAAATTTATGGTAGACCTAAGTTATAAAAGAAACTCATGGAAAAATTTGAGATGTGCAAGCTAGATTTAGAAAGGAAATGAGGTGTACGGTTAAAGGTTTTTCAATGCGCATAATCCCAGAGAAGTATTAAAGCAAAAAGATTTTTGTGCGTTCACATACTTGGAAAAGGCTTAAGATAGAGTGGACAGGGATATTTTATGGCAAACACTGGACTATTTAGGGTTGAGCGCGGGGTTTAGGGTGGAGCTTGGGCTGATACAAGCATTAAAATCACTTTGTAGGGACTATAGCGTTTGTGTCAGGATCAACGGGGTCTACTCGAATTGGTTTGGAATTTATTGAGGTCAGTCAGGGCTGTGTACCTTTCAAAAGGTTGTTCAAACTACTTATGGCAACATTGAAAATTGAAAAATGTGAGATAAAAATGGGTGAGTTAACCGTTAAATTTCTTTTATACGCCGATGATCAAGTCATATTTGCGTCATCGGCGAGCGAGTTGCAATCATCATCATCATTCATCATTACAGCTCTTCACAAGTCCACTGCTGAACGTAGGCTTCCCCCAAGTAACGCCACAAAGCACGGTCCTGAGCCACCTGCATCCATCGACTTCCTGCATGTCTTACCAGGTCGTCACTCCATCCAGTGGGGGGTCGCCCTACACTACGGTACGAGGCTGCCACTGGAGAACCTTTCTTCCCCATCGGTTATCGGTTCTTCGAGCTATATGACCGACCCATTGCCACTTCAGCTTACTAATCCGTTGGGCTATGTCGGTCACTCTGGTTTTACTGCGGATATCCTCATTTCTGAGTCTATCACGCAGAGAAACTCCGAGCATAGCTCTCTCCATAGCTCGCTGAGCGACCTTGAGCGTCCTCATACGGCCAGCAGTGAAGGACCACGTCTCTGATCCGTAAGTCATCACTGGCAACATGCACTGGTTGTACACTTTAGTTTTCAGAGATTGAGGTATACCTGACGAGAAGATATGTCGTAATTTCCCGAACGCTGCCCAGCCGAGTTGAATTCGCCGATTGACCTCTCGGTCGAAGTTAGACTTACGTAGTCGGACTATTTGTCCCAGGTAAACGTACTCGTCAACAACTTCGAGCATAGTGCTCACAACAAGTACCGGCATAGGTGTGACATGGACATTAAACATGATCTTTGTTTTGTCCATGTTCATCTTAAGACCTATCCGTTGGGAGACACTATTGAGGTCATTGAGCATAGTGCTAAGGTCCTCCAGCGATTCTGCCATAAGGACTATATCGTCGGCAAATCGAAGGTGAGTGATGTACTCGCCATTGATGTTAATACCGTATCCTTTCCAGTCCAGTAGCTTGAAAACGTCTTCCAACGCAGCGGTGACGAATTTCGGGGATATAACGTCACCCTGTCTTACAGCTCTCTGCAGTTGGATAGGTTTCGAACTCTGGTTCTGTACTCGGATAGCCATCGTAGCCCTACTGTACAAAAACTTCAGCACTTCGATATACCGAAAGTCAACTTGGCACCGCTGAAGAGACTGTAGCACCGCCCAAATTTCGATGGAATCAAAGGCTTTCTCATAGTCCACATACGCCAGGTAAAGTGGCAGATTGTACTCTTCGGTCTTCTGTACAATCTGCCGCAGGGTGTGTATGTGGTCTATGGTACTGAAGCCTTTTCGGAAACCGGCTTGTTTAGGAGGCTGGAAATCGTCGAGCTTGCGTGCGATACGATTCGTAATGACTCTCGAAAACAGCACGTAGACGCGGCTCAGAAGGGAAATCGGTCTGTAGTTCTTCAAGAGAGCGCTGTCGCCTTTCTTAAAGAACAAGACCACCGCACTTCTGCTCCACGCCTCCGGAATAGTGCCACCATGGAGGACGGAATTGAAGAGATTCTGAAGGACTTCAAGTACCGGTGTTCCACCCGCTTTCAGAAGCTCCGCTGTAATTCCATCCTCGCCTGGGGCCCTGCCGTTTTTAAGGTGCTGGAAAGCCATTCTAATCTCGCTCATCATCGGATTATTTAATTCGCGAGTTGCAAATTATGGTTAAATTATTAAAAGAAAGAGGAATGAAAGTGAACGAAAGCAAGAAGAAAGCGTTGCTTTTTGAAGGAGAAGAAAGTAAAAGAATGTGTGAAAAATTAGAAAGGAATGGAAATTTACTGAGCAAGTTTATGTATTTGAGATATGTATTTAGGGATAGTAGATATGATAAATCTCTAGAACGATAATTGAACGCAGGACATAAGGTAAATGGGGCTCTTCACTTTATTGTGGAAAGTCAGAATGTGTTAAAAGGCACGTATGGCTATTCACAATGCTTTGTTAATCTCTACCTTAATGTATTGTAGTGAAAGTTAGGTGTGGCACGATAGTACAATAAATGCTGTAGAAATGTGGTCATTAAGAAGTATGTAAGGGCTGAATCGGAATGGCAGAGTAAGAAATAGTGTGATAAGGGAAAAGTGTGGTTTGCAAGATGATGTTGTGACGAGGATTATAAAAGGAATGCTTCGGTGGCTTGGTGATGTGGAAAGAATGAACGAGAAAAGAGTGATAAAGCAAATTTATAGTAAAGAAGTGAATGGCAGAGTCGGGAAGAGACGACTAAGACGACAATATAACGAAAAAATTGGAGATGTATTGAAGATGGGCTAGATTAAGAGTACCCTTTATTGACGAGCATGTATGCATAGGTATAGGGATGTAAGAAAGGCGTGATAGGTGTTTTAGGATCGTGTCTAATGGAAGTCCGTTGTCTCTGCCTACTCCTCTTGATGATATAGGCGTATTTATGTCGTATAAGATATATACAATATGGCACAATACAATACATTACTTTTTATTGTACACAAAGAAAAGAAATTAAGTATATAACAAGGAACAAACAGGAATAAAACATAAAACGGTCTCAATTGCTTTACAGAAAGACAAAGTCACTCAATTACTTTTAAGACAAAGTGCATTTAGCTTAGGAAAAAATACAGCAAATTTTTATTTGCAAAAAAAGCAAGCAAAATGCTTAACACATGATTATATTAGGTGTCAGCTATTGAAGAATGGAAAGGATTTGTTCTAGCAGACGAAACATCTTTGCACATTCTAATCGAATGCGGACTCATATTGCGCTAATTTTGCACCAATCAATCTAGACATTGACTTACTAGCCCAGAGGAAATAAAGATTCACCTAAGTTTGCAACGATCACAATATATCATACTGGTCGCAGTGCTGCCCCTACAATACCTGAATAGTTGTTCCTACATAATAAAAATTAAGTAATTTTTATTGTTGGATTGCTGTATCTTACAAAATGTATGTCTATATTACTTGACATATTTGTCTTTTGTTGCTTTAAAAGACACTTCACATTCAAAGCTTTTCTCGTAAATAATTTTGACTACATAAAGCATGTTGATTATTTTGCAAAAAATATTTTATTTAAATATAGTGGTATATGTATTTACTGTCTTAAAATTGCATTTTAAGTAGAATTCCGGTCACTGTTTCGTAAAAAAGTTGTTAAAATTTATTTTTTACAATTTGAGCTAACGAAAATTTTAAGAAATTTTGAATTAAAATACGAACGTCCTCACCTGTTGAATCATCATGTTATTGGGTACTGGATGATGTCTAGTCTCCAATGATTCTTTTGAGTATGATTATCCTCAGATATTCCCTCAATTTATATATCAAGTTTATTGAAAAACAATACCATATTTCGCAGTGAGTATAATATTTCCAAGCGAATTAGAGCATTAGGGTATATGTTCACTACACAGTCGGAGTGAAGTCGGAGCTACAGATATTTAATTAGTTAAATAGACCTGCTAGTGCATTCAATATTTGCGCCTCAACTCTGCCACGGTGCCACCTTAACTCGAGTCATACTATTATCCCAAAATGATGACGTTTTCGGTAGCTCCCATTGCTATGTAAAGGAACGATTTTCTGGTTGTTCGTCAACTATTTTCAAAGACACGGATGTTTTTGCAGCTGAGAGAATATTTACAAATTATTTATGTTATAATTATGTATTGGAAATGAGGGTATAAAACGGAAATTCGAACGAATGAAGGTAGAACTATAATTTCCCACTCGTTCTAGCGGTATAAAGTATCGCACATGCGGCTAAGAGGGATCAGTCGGTAATTCTACGAGTCTCACTGCTGTTACTATATCAGTTGGGTTATTCTACTAGTGTTGACAAGGAAGATAGTGTAGCTGAGAGGCTGCACTGTGTTGTTACGTTAGCATTTTTACTGTTGGTGTGCGTACTTTGGTGATATCATGTAATAATGTCCTTCACTATACACCAATAGGTGATTGTGGCGGGGACATATTACGGTGGTTGAACTGTATTTGCTCTATATTGAATCTGTAGTGCAGTACGCCGTTTCATTTCCGATAATGTTTAATAGCGTAAGCAAGAGAGAAAGTTGAACATCCGCTCTAACACATTTATTATTTTTAACCAGACCAGAATAATTTCTGATAGTAAAGAAAGTTCTTATCGAGTAATGTTCCTTTATTTTAAATATTTCTGAGATTAATTTATTACATATGTATAATTATATATTTCATCAATAATGAAAAGTGAATAAAGCAGGCTTCTGGAACGACAGCTTCGCGACCGCGCCGCGACTGCACTGCGAATCTTTTCTCTGTGGGTGATACACTTTAGATCAATAAAATTGTTCAATATTTGATCGTCTCAGATTTCCCAGTAAATCTAATGTCACATAAGTTTAATATCAAAAATCCTCCTCTAATACGCTAAGTTAATGTAGACTTTTAGAACAAAAATTGTGACATAAGAGGATCCATCTACTAATTTCGTATCGTTGTTGCCGTAAGAGTCGATTGTGGTAAATGTAAAGACGATTTTTATACGTTGCACTTCTGGGCATATCTCTTCTCAATATTAAGAGGGTTATGGAAGAATGACTATGCCGCGCTGCTGCAGTTCGTGTTGGTGTAAGTGGTTGCTGTGACCCATAGACATCCACATCTATCCTCGTTTGCGAATCAAAACGCAGATGCGTTATCAACCGTGAGAACTAAGATGGAATGCCTCATTTCCAGTAAAAAGGCTCTCCGGTTCTCTACACTCACCATACGAAACACAGCAGCATTAAGCTACTATTTTACGCTGGTATTCTGTGAGAGCGTGGTCCTTCCCTGGTCGAGCCAACCCATTCGTGATACAACTATACTACTAATATAACTGCAGCATGGCTCTACCAAACGAGGCAACTATTTCAAATATTCCCCTTTTAGGGAAATCTGTAGGGAGGCCTATGTTCTACAGTAGACTTTTAGATCAATGAATGAATGAATAAACTTAGCGCCTACGGCTCTTTTTAACCATTGAGTTATCGCAACCCTTCTATGCTCGTATATGCCACTATACTGCCACGGATCTTTATCGTGTGGAGTAGATGACAATCTTTTTCCAGCATCAGGTACATAGTTTGTTATGACGTATTTTTTACTACTTTGTTAAATTTTGAGCAACTTTTAAACAATTCTTTAACTTTAATGTTTGTTAAATAATTTATACAAACATTAAAGCTTATTATTTGTAAATTATTCAAGATTTTTGCAACATTTGCAAAACTGAACTGAGGCTTAATTATTTACGAAACAATTGTTTCATTGCTGTATGTTTATTTAAATATATTACTTATTATAATATATCAAAGTAAAATTATTTACGAAACAATTGTTTCATTGCTGTAAGTATGTTTATTTAAATATATTACGTAATATAATATATCAAAGTAAAATCATAAAAGTGAAATTAATTTTAAATATGGTGGGTACATTGTAATAATTACAACAAAGGACCATTATAATACCAAACTGAGACAAACAAAAAACGTTAAGCTTATGCAAGATTTAATGACGCAATATTATTGCCTTAAAATAGTTTGGCCGTGGCAATGAACCTCGTACGTTTCTGTGCCTTTGCAACCTTGAGAGTTGCCCAAAAGTTGACGATCGTAGAAGCAAAAACGTAAAATGCTAAATGGACTCAATAGTCGGAGTGTAGCGTGCGTAATCGTTTACAAATGGATACATTGTTCGCAAGATTTGGTACAAGTGATAAGCGCAAGGATCCAAAGATTTGGATACAATATTTAACTATAATCGATAATAATGATATGATGACGTTTCATAATTTCTGGATAAATGGTAATAATTTATCTTTAACGACTCTTTTTATTTGCAAAATATACAAGGTAAAGTAACATATTCAAACTAGTAACTTAGTTGTCGGTATATCTAATTATAAATGTGCATTATCTGCACATTTTTTCGATGTTCCGAAAAAGTCCATTGTTAGACGTTGTAGATAGAATATGTTTTATTCGCCACGCTAGTGTTACGACTCCAAGTCATCAAAGATGCTTTATTTCTGGTAGTGCGGTCGTCAATAGCCTATTAATTAATCGTAATTGTAGCTAGCTGAAAGTATTTTATAGCGAAAATGTTTATTGCTTATAGCTTATAGCTTTAAGATTTATTGCTTATAGCTTTAAGCAATGAAATGAAAAAAAAACTTAATAAAAACGTTTACCTAATGACTAGATACATAATTTTATTTGTAATTTGGACAAAACACATTATAAAACTGATTTCTTATGATTTACACTGGACGCTGGTACGATTGTTACAATTACAAATTGATATTATTAATATTTCTACAAGTACATTACATTTTGCCTAATGTGTGTAGCCAAACGCGTAATTACCTTACGCTGCTTCACTGCACAAATTAATATTTTTTTTAATCTTTATTGATTATAGAGGGTTTGATCTACTAGATCAATGACTGTCATAGGCACACAATCAAACATGAAAGATTATTTGTTCTTAATACCTAACAAGTATATTAATCTTTACCCAGACTCCTTTTCTCTGGTACTTTTTTCTGTGTATGATTCTGCCTCCATTCTATTTACACCGTTATACAACGAAATACACCAAGTAGCGATTATGCACCGTATTTAGAGGCTGAAAGACATCAGTGGTGATAATGCTTTATTATAATGCATTGTCACCATTATATTCTCTGTTTCAATTTTTGACCGTATTAGTGTCAATGGGATGCGGCAGTTTTTTACCATGGTGGACTGTTAGTTAACTTGTCACGTTAATTCTAAAAATATTGTCGGGTGTTATTTTTACATTGAAGTAAAAGCAAAGGTTTTTGGAATTCCACGCCGTGGTTTTGACTTTTGACTCTCATGTAGCTTAAGCTAGTTGATCCCTTAAGGTCGTGAAGGAATGATTTCGCCTTGGAAGAACCTTGAAAATTTTAACGTATAAAGGAAAAATCTCTATATAAGTAGTCAAAACTTAGAACAGGCAGATTTTATTTGGATGCCTACATTCCTACCGCACACTCATTCCGATGCGTTTTGCTAGCTCTACAGTCATGCATTGTCGCACACAATAACCAAACTCCTATACAAATCCGTTTAAAGTTTTCGAAGATAGATGTGGAGACAAAGGTACGATATCTTGGGGAAATTCCGAATTTTGCGTAGGCGGAGGCGAGGTTCAACTACATCCTTAAATACTCGTAATAACCCACCCATCTCTAAAACTGACTCCTCCAACCTTTCAACAATCCAATTCTGTTAAGTCTTTATGAAAGATTATGCAGTTCCATTGTACGACACTACACCACATTATTTAAGAGCACTCCGTAAGTACCTCTGAAACAGGAACTCTAAAAATATATTTCTAATTACCCCTGAAAGGCGAAAAGAATCATTTTATTTTATTTTGTGTTACATAGCTGAATATTCAGTATTAATTTTTATGTGGAATTTAAGTGGTAAAGGTATAATTTATTTTATTATAATTACGTAAGTAAGTTACATATTATTATTAATGTATTCAGCCTCGTACCGATAAGCGACGAGTAGGGTGGCTCTTCACTAAATGGAATGACGACTTAGAAATGCTGAAAGTCGATAGACGCAGTTGACCAAGTACACGATCGAACTTTGCGGAATTTCTTAAGGAGGCCAATGTTCAGTAGTCGATTTTATTGGTGATATGTATGTATGTATAACAATAATGGTTTATTTCAAAACACTCTTTAAATTAAATGAACATGCGCTTCCTATAAATATGAAATTCCGTAGATTTCGGTTTAGATATATAATAATCGCTCACAAGCAAACCCTATACAAAAAAAAAAAAATTAAAAAACGATTAGAGAGGTGCCACCAGATCCGACTGCGACCTTCGGCAAAAAGTGGGTGGAGTGTCCAATGTCATGCAGCCCGTTCTCCGCCGTATAGATACCAATATATAAGGCGACGGAATCAGCCGCATTACTAGCAATAGTCCGCTATCGAATACATCACAAAGGACAATGTTCCTTTACTTTATTTGTGCTAAGGGTAGTTTCCTTGGGGGAGGCCTATGTTAAGTAGTGGAATTGTGAAGAGCTGTAATGATGATGATGACAAAGGTTAGGGTAATAGTTTTGGCTATAAACTGCGTTGAGTTACGTACTTTTATGAAATAGTACCAGAAAATAACGTACATTATTCTCAGTTCAATTTTGAACCAAATTGAAACATAA